TGGTGTACGTGCGTGACGTGTACGTGCGTGCACCGCTGTACGTGCGTCGCTATCTCGCGTGTACGTGTACGTGCGTGCGTACGTGCGTGCCTAACCTGCGGTGTACGTGCGTGTATCTGCCGATGTAGTGCGTGTACCGCCGCTGTCACCCCTGCCGTGTCACTCCTGCCGTGTACACGCTGTACTTCGCGTGTCCAGTCTCGCCCGTGTACCGCGTGTACGTGCGTGTATCTGCGTGTACGTGCGTTGTATCTGCGTGTGACAGTGCGGTAGTCCACCGCGTGTACGTGCCGTGTACCCGCGCTCTACGTGAGTGTCATCTCCGTGTATCTCCGTCTCACCCGCGTTACGCCTTGCGGTTGTATCTCGCCCTCGTACGCTGTACGTGCGGTGTATTCTGCGGTGTACGGGTACGTGGTGTATCTGCGTGTACGTGTCTGTGCGTGTATCTCGTGTACTGCGTCGTACCGCGTGTACGATGCGTGTACCTGCGTGTACGTGCGTGTACGGGGTGCGTGTACCTGCGTGTACGTGCGTGTATCTCGCTGTACCCGCGTGTACGTGCGTGTATCCTGCCGTGACGTGCGTGTACGTGCGTGTACCCCATCTGTGCGCGCCTGCCTGAGCAGACCATTGTTTACAAAATTGCCTAGCTTAGGCCTTCGCTTTTGCGTGTGTGACCCAGTCATGGAATATAATTAAGAAGGTCTATAAGCCCAAAGCGGTACTAGTAGAGTGCAGCGAACTCTTGTCCTAGCGACTCATCGAAGCCGCATATCGGAAAACACTTGGGGTATCGCGTTAGATGCGATGCGGTTCCTACTTGTCCACAAACACATTTCTCTTAACTACGACCGCTTACTGCGGGCGACTTAGGCGTCACGAGCCCGGACGCAGTGAACATTGCCAAATCCGTCGCAGAAGTTTAATACAATTCAAGACACTCCATGATAACCACAGTGAGCTTGCATGCGCTATTCTTTACTTTGAGAATAATGGCATTATCTCGAAGTAACAATCGTAATCTATGCGCGATTGTTTGTGAGTGGAGCGTTTGTTGGCCGTAACAGTGTATGTTTGAAACTGTATTCAGTGTACATTTTTATATGATGCTTGTACATATTACGCATTAAAAGAACAATTAATAGATTCATTAAAATTATCATAATAAGTAAAGAGCATGTTTAAAAGCTACACGAATTGGTTAGCTTTATATGAACTGACTGCAATATTTTTCCGGATGCATATAAAAAGTTCTATAGATCCGGTATTCTATAAATTTTATTATAATTCTATATCAAAATTTAAAATTTTAAATTTGTGCGTCATTCAGGAAACGGGAAAGATACTGGCCCAGATACAGGCTTCTTTCAATACTCTTTAAATAGACCTATTTCCGTTAGTATCTAAAAGCTACATTAGTTTGCTACTTGTATTTTATTACATTTTTATGTTTCATGATTTACACAGTACAGACCGTAAATCTATGCGTGTATGAGTAATACGCGCCGCGCGTCAGTGCTGTGTGCGCTGTGTATGTGTGTGTGTGTTGTTGTGTGTGGTGTGTGTGTGTGTGTGTGTGCGTGTGTGTGTGTTGCGAGTGTGTGTGTGTGTGTGTGTGTGTGTGTGTGTTGCGCGCGTGTGTTGTGTGTGGTGTGGTGTGTTCGTACGTGCGTGCCGATTGCGTTTGCGCGTCGTGCCGCCGCTGGCACGTGCTGTGTGTGAGGGAAGTGTATCGCTGCACTTACTTACCACCCTACACTACTTTTGAACACAATCAATTACTTGTCGCTCCCTATCTATTTACGAAAATCTCCTTGGTGACACGCCCTTTTCGATTTAAGAGACTGCAATTTTGCTTCGCCTGATTTTGCCATGCTCGATTAACAATTCACTACTTAGAACAACATTCAAGCTGTTGCTTGGATTTACACTGAAGGAGTCTTGCCCTTCTCTTATGGGCGGCTGAGGTGTGGGTGTTCACCGAAGTTGGAACATCCACATTAATGTGTCTGTTTATGCCCCCTACTGGAAATATGGTACAACATCTTTTTGGCCGGTATACTGAGGGTGTTCCGTTTCAACCGTTAATGAATTCATTGTTCAATGTTCCCTTTCAATGTAATTCATGCCACACATAATGTAACAATGTATCTTTCGAGAAATCTCTGAAATATTGCAGTGATAAAAAATACAGAGACTATTTTGCAATTTCTTATATGTCTTTGCTAACCGGTGGAAACCCATATTAAAAGTTCGGTTACTTTGTAGCCGCGGCACAGCCGGGCTATCTCTTGCCAGTGTTACATATAATTCACATTCGACACTGCAAAAGAAGTTCAGGTACTAAGACAGATTTAATTTCTCTATTGTTTATATAAGGAAGACCATGTGTTTCACACTTTTTTCACAGAAATCACTGTGCTGAACTATATTAACACTCTTGGTACAACTTTTACAATCACAGAATGAGCATTTTTTGGCAGATTGTCAATATGCCGTGCGTGTAGGTATGTGTGTGTGTGTGCGTGCCGTCCGCCGTGCGTGCGTGTGTGTGTGTGTGTGTGTGTTGTGTGTGTGTGTGTGTGTCGTGCTTGTGTGCGGTATTGCGCACTGTGTGTATTGCGACGTGTTGTCGTATGCGTCATGTATGCTGTGAGTGCGTTGTATTGTGTGCCATGGCGCGCGCGTGCGTGGTTTTGTGTTTCATGTAGTGCGTCGTCGGGGTACGTGCGCGCGGCGCGCGTGAGTGGTGTGGGCGGGATCGGAGGCAATTGCGGTAAATTTTGCGGGAAAGGCGGGATCGTCCACCAGATTCACAGTTGCTTCTCGAACACAGGATGCAACTACGCTATGTAGTACTCGAGTGGCTTACACTAATTTACATATACCGCCGTACACAGTTGAATTCTAGTTTGGTCTACTGTATAGATTAGATTAGCCTGTTACCTTTTCTTATATGCATCGCTTTTATTACGTACTATTCCAACAGCATTGGTTTCGCTCTTACGCGACGTGTTGACCGTGTTACGCTGCTGCACATAGCATCCGTTTAATATGGCCTTCGCCAATAAGGATATAGCGCGATGCATATAAAGGGAAATTTTACACGTATATTACATTGTATAACAAATATTATATTACATATATACGATTTCAATCAAAATATTATCAACATCTATAATACATTTTTAGCTCTGATATTATTTATACCGCAGTGAATCAGCAGGTGTCTTTAACTAACGTGTGCACTGCTATGCCATGGTATACATTGACCGGCTTCCCTTAATAACTTGACCGGTTAAGCACGTTACACCACGCTTACACGCGTTCACCGCACGTGGCCACCGCTCACACGAGTGCGACATAAGCCGCGTTCACACGTAGCAAAGAAATCCGGTATTTAGCGTTCACACGAGGCAAAATTTGCGCGGTCCAAGAGAATACGGTATTTAAACCGATTCCGGTATTTGATGTAAATACGCGGCTTCCCAGACCCCGAATAATTTGCCGTGCTGAGACAATATCCGCGATCTCTTGGACCGCGCATTTCCTCGTGTGAACGCTAAATACCGCGCGATTTCTGGAGCCGCGTATTTTATAGCACGGGGTACGCGCTCGACAGTTCCAGTGTAACGCAAGTGGAACTGATCCGAGCGCGGTACAGTCTCTTACGGGTATGTTATCGCAGTTGGGTGCCGCATTGCATTGTTTATTTCG